ATAATAGCAATTCACTTCTAAATATGAGAATGGCTGCTCCGGATAGACTTATAAACAGTAGATCTCTGCCAGAGAACAAAGCTGACAACGAATGTAAAACTTTATATCTCAACTTTATATTGTGCTTACCCAGGATCAGCGCAAAGATGTTAGGCAAAGTCCTTGAAGAATAGAACACAAAATGAAACTGTGTGAGAGATATGAAAATGAGACGTTTAGAAAGGCTGGGACCAAGCAAAGAGCCAGTTGCATGGATGAATTTGTTAAACGAATTTGCGACAAGAAGACAGAGAACGCATCTAACGGAAATTTGAAGGGAGTATTTGGACATCCCAAATACATTTTTCAAGACATATGCAGGCGAAGCCAAAAAGGCGAGTAAAAGAGGGCCCAAGAACGTACGAGGAACTACACCGGGGAATTCAATATGATCATACTAGTGCATAATGCAAGTTATTAATTACCTGCGAAATATTAGATTTATGTATTAATATGTCATGCGTTGCTTGTATATTAAAACTTTCTTCTACTTTAGTGAAGGGAAAAAATGCGACATATGCGAGAGGAACGAAGTAGAGTAAATGACAGAGAAGCATGGAAAGACCGCGGGACGAAAGACTTAAATTTGCCACCAAAATGTTTTAGATAGGAATCAAATATTATATACCAAAAAAATAAATTTTGATGAGGCATTTGCGAATGTGATGGAAGTACTTGCATTCCGATGCGCGCTTTATCCATTCGTCCTATCTGAACCAAACTTGCTCTATTATCAGGTAGAAATTTATAAACTTTATTTTGCGTAAAAATTGGTTTCCGGCCTTGATAATTTTTCAAGACTCATTTTAATAATTATATTTACTTGATAAAAACCATCTCGAATATTTTTAATGTGTGATACCCTTAGATTTTACTTTAGATTAATGCTTTTCTGAGCATGAGGCAGATTACCTATCCATACACCTTTCATAATTCTGTTTTTCGTGCCGCATGTAAGCTTAAATTAAATATGGGGGCTTAATTTTCATCCTCAAAGTCATCTAACTCCAAGATTATGAACACTTTCCAAGGCTCCCTTTTGGAACTTGTGATCTATTTTTCAGCTTTTCTAGGTCGAATATATGTATTCTTATTGCTAATTTGGCGTTTAAAATGAAACAAGTGCTGTTTTATTCT